AAAAAAAAAAAAAAAAAAAAAAAACTGTTGATAATTGAAAGAAAATGGGGAAAGCAAATGCGGTCCTACTAACATGAAGCGCACCATGAGAGGGAAAAGCCAAGATGAAATCTAAGTGGGGTTCCATCCCAAAACCAATTGGTGAAAGGAGGAGTAGCCCATTAGACTTATAAGGCGGGTCCATTTTCCATGTATGAACGATGTGAGACAACTCACAAGTGATATTACTCTCAAGTGAGATTCTAACAATAACAAAAATCCCCACCCTTCTTTAGTCTCTTTGTAATGATAATCAGAAAATTTGAGTCGTCTCATATTACAAAAATCACCACTTTTCAGTAGCTGCAGGAGCAAACAAAAGGCCGTCCAATTTTGGGGAGATGCTATGGTCCTGTTAAGGAACCATTCCGTCGGGATTTTGTAACCGTTAGATCAACTATCCTCGACGGTTACATGATGATCCAACGATTACAAACCCTGACGAAATGGTTCCGTAACGAGATCGTAGCATTTCTCCCAATTTTGATAATTAATTTGGCTTAATCACCACTTTATATCAGTTGGTTACCTTTGCAACGCTTTCTTCTTTTTTTTTTTTCTATTTATACTTTAATTTTTTAAAATAACCATACAAAATATAAATAAAATAAAAATAGAATTGTGGGGACATGCCCACAAAATTGGAATTAAAATATCAAAGTCGATCAATTAAAAACACCATCTAAATGGGCCTAATACAGACACCCTATTGGGAAGGTAGGCCTATAGGTTATGGTATATTTACACTTTTACAGCTAATTCAGTAGCCCATACAACTGTGAGAACATGAATAAATTAAAACCTTTTTGAGCTGAGAAAATATGCTAGTGAAGTGATAGGTCCATTTCAAATAATACTTACAATCTACATTTAATTTGTGAAATGTACTTTTTTTTTTTTATTTGTTTTTCAAATGATCAAATCTTAATACTATTTTTTTCTTCGCCTATTTGTTTGTGCAATTGACGTGACAATTTGATTCCTTACAGGTCATAACATATTTGCAGATTTATATATATTTATAGGGAACTTCACGTGATTTTTTACCCATATTTTTTTCTCTTTTGCTTTTGCAATGCGCAACAAACAAGCATGAATATATGCTCTCATTATTTGATCATGTTTGTAAGTTATAATTATTATGCACTTAGCAATTTTTAGCAGAGGAGTTTATAAAATTTATAAGTCCTTAATAAATAATATTGATCTATATTAATTTTATTTGCATTAATTTAATGTAATATTGATCTATATTAATTTTATTTGCATTAATTTAATGCAGTGGCGGAGCCAGGATTAAAATCTACGTATGGCGAAAGAGAGTCGGCGAGCGGCGAGCGGATGGAGCAGTACTGTCGGCGGGCGTCGGCGTCGGCGAGAGCGGTTCAAGAGAAAGAGAGTCGAGAAAATTCAGATCGATCGATAAAGTGGAGGATCATGGTGAGAATGATGAAAAACGGAAAAAAAAAATGAGGACTTGGCCATGAAAGAAGGGATCTTGAGCAAAATTGCAGCAGAAATGTGGGTCGCAGAAGGTTAAGAAGGCGAAGCAATTGGGAATTAGGATTATGGCCAAAAGTTGAAGTTAAGACAAGAAAAAAAGATTTTTTGTTATTTAATTTGGGTTGTAGGACTTTTGTTATTTAAACTCAAATATTGGGTTTTACTTAGAGTTAGGTAATATGTTGAGTTTCTGCATTTTAGCATTTTGGGTTAATTTAGCCCATTTCATTTTTATTATGTTCAGATTTTCTAGCAAGGGTACGTTGGGAAATGAGTGAGGAAAAATTGTAAACAAATTATATTTACCCCACATGGGATTGAAGGAAATTAGGTAAGCTGTTACAATCAATTACTTTTTTCTCTCTTCTCACCATCTTCCTCCTTTTCTCTCTCTCTCTCTATCCCTTCTCAAATTCTTATTATTCAAAAATGGCAGAATTATATTTACAGTAATTCTATTGTTTTTAGAAAAAATACAAAAAATATCAAAAAATACAAAAAGAACTGGGGGGTGGGGGGGTGTTCGCCGGAGGCCAGGTATGGCGGCCGCCATGCCTCGCCATACTGGTGGCTCCGCCACTGATTCAATGTCTTGACCATATTCAAATGCATATAACAAGGAAAAGAAAGCACATCACTCACTCTATTAGGAACAAAATAAAAACATAATATCATATTTAGGACTTAAGAAACTCCTTCAACAACAAATCACAATAGAAATGATTGGTTGCAAAAGTCATTATCATAATTCTAAGATTTTTAGTAATTATATGTCCATAATTTATGACACCCATTGATTTTTTTATTTATTTATTTTTCTCATTGTTTTCAAGTGAGGACATATAAAAGTTGGCCATTATCTTAGAATTTTATCCCCCCCACAAGACCACATTTGTTGGGAGTGGGGAATCATTTGTTTTGTTGGTTAGTGTGGAAGTGAAGAACCCAATCTCTCTTTCTTTACAAAAAAACAAAAAAAACAAAAAAGAAAGAAAAAAAAAGAAACTTAGAAAATACAAAATAAAAATAAAATAATAGAGGCCACAAAACTAACTTCCAAGGGAGGTCACAAATATATTACTAGAGATAATTGAGTTTAGAATATCAAAGCCATCACTTTCTACTAATTAAACCCATAAAAGGCCAGAGTTTGTTGAGAATATTTTTGCATACCATTGATTTTAGCCATGCATCTTTGCTCTGTGTCTCCCATGCTAATGTTTCTGTTGACTTATTTCATTTTT